CTAGTCGTCACTTGGTTCTGTAATATATAAGTTTTTCACTTGCCAAGAATGAATTAGAAGTTGGTTGATGAGAATGATTAAGTCCACATAACATGTATAGTTTGAAAGTGAATTGGGGTTCTTTGTTTTAGAGGAAGGAAGCAAAAGAAGTTTATTTGATGTAGACTGTGCCAAACTGTACATAAATCTCATTGATTCAATGATGCTGCAGCGCAAGACAAGATTGCAGATTTTGAGATGAAGCTGATGGATATCGACAGCGAGCATTTAGGAATACCTGACGCTGAGTACCAGTCAATTGTGCGAATGCCGTCTGCTGAATTTTCCAGGATATGCAAAGATCTCAGTAGCATCGGTGACACTGGTAATTACACTCACTGTTGTCTCTGTTGCTAGTCGTAGAGAGGATTCAGGATTGGTCTTAATTTTGGTTTTTTTTTTGGTGTTCTGATTGCAGTTGTGATCTCTGTTACAAAAGAAGGGGTGAAGTTTTCAACAGCAGGCGATATCGGGACAGCAAACATTGTCCTGAGGCAGAATACAACTGTAGACAAAGTATGTTAACAGTTACAAGTCATTTAGAACTTCGTTTATCTGTTCAATACAATTTTGAAGTGACCTTTTTCTGGTTTTTGTGTGTTTGCAGCCTGAGGATGCAATTGTGATAGAGATGAAGGAGCCTGTATCGCTTTCATTCGCACTGAGGTACATCAATTCCTTCACAAAGGCAACCCCATTGTCAGAAACATTGACAATCAGCTTGTCCTCGGAGTTACCAGTCGTAGTGGAATACAAGGTGGCCGAGATGGGTTACATTCGATACTATTTGGCACCGAAGATTGAAGAAGAAGAAGACACTAATGTCTAACACGTTTGTTTTTCAAAGTTACAGAACCTTAGAAAATGGTGCTGGTGATTGTTTTTTTTCTTTTCTTTGCTGTGATCCTTCATTAAGATGCATTTGTTTTCTGGTTTTTACTATTTTACTTCAATACTAGATTAGGTCATGGTATAACAAGTTTGGCTGGATTTGCAAACTTTAGAAACCTGTTTAACCTCATTTTTGTTCTCAAATTCGCAAAACAAAAAAATGTTACTTTTTAAGACGCAAAAACCAGTCTGAGTAAGAAAATCAGACCCAAAAACATTGGAGTAAGACGAGAAGTGTAACAGATGTATCACACGTGCACTTTGATTAGAGAGTTTGCCTCCAGTCTTCCCCAGCATACAGAGCTTGATCCCCGAGCTCTTCCTCAATCCGAAGCAACTGCAGGAAGATTTCAAGTGTGGCTTTCAGTTTTATTTTCCGAATCGAGTACTTTCCACAAATAACCCTAATCCTGAATTGAGAACACTATCTAGTATCTAGCAACTAAATGTGCATGGCTGCTCCAAACCGAATCATTACACGTTGAGGAGAATTATTGGATCTAGTCGTAAGCTAAGCTTAATTTTTCATAGGTTGCCAAGTATTCACATGCAATGACACAACTCAGCTACATAAATGGATAGCAGTTGATGGGATGTTAAAAGGTTCTGAAAGCTTCAATAGACCAATGCAGATTAATTCCATAGTCTAATCGCAAATATTGAATAATTTGAGCTTGGGGTTCTGAGGAAGTTAGTTTTGAAAAAGATACACACCTGGTTATACTTCATAGTACGTTCACCTCTGCAAGGAGCACCAGCTTTGATCACACCAGTTGCAAGACCCACGGATAAGTCGGAGATGAAAGAGTCCTCTGTTTCTCCACATCTATGAGATGTCACCACACCCCACTGGGCATCCCTTGCTAGTTTCACTACTTCAATGGCTTCTGTTACTGTACCAATCTGATTCACCTGTAACACACCGTACGCATATTATGTCTTTGTCATTCTTAGGCACTAGTGTATCTTACATACAATACTAGCAGATGCAACACGATTGTATATACGATAACACAAATTTGCACACACAATATACCTTGAGAAGAAGGGCGTTACAAGCAGATTCTTGTATTGCGCGTTCAATACGTTTTGAGTTTGACATCAACAAATCATCACCTACCACCTGCAAAGGTAAAATACTGAGTATTTAAACGAGGAAAATGTTTGTACAAACAGATTTTAGGTTCCTTTTCTGGCATGGTTAGCCTAGTTTGTTTTATGTAAAGATCTGATTCCGTGTTAAGATTCAGAAGACAATTTGATCTGAAACACACACAATCTAAAGTCAAACTATTTCTAACAGGGGAACCGAGTTGGACCTGACATATTCCAAGACTGGAAAAATACTTGGTGTGTTCCCAATCTTCCTTGTCAAACGGGTCTTCTATAAACACAATCGGATACTCTAACCCACAAGAGACAAAACAGAATATAAGGTTGTCAGCGTACGAAAATAGACTCAAAATAAAATCTTGCAAAACAGGCACAGACATACCAGCACAAAGTTCTTTGTACATGTCTATCATATCATCTGCTGACTTGAAATTTTGCCCAGCTTTATTTGGAGATTTGATATCTAGGTCATACTTGGTACCTGTTCAGGAATCAACCATTCAACAAGTTAAGGAAAATGGATGAAAAGAAAACCATAGTAAAAATTTGCAAAACGCATGATATTGATAAATTATTCATTTGATGATTCAACATCGTTTCCGTGTCACCAGCCAATTATGAATGACAATGCCTAGAACCAAACCAAGACTATCCCTGACTATAAGTAGCCAAACAAAACCGGTTTAACGAGAAGCAGATATTACCTAAACAAAAGTTAGTGGCGGCAATATCAATTGCTATCTTTATCTTATCATTGTGTCCTGTTCGGTTGATAGCTTCTTTTACAAGCTCCAAACCTTCCTTGAGGCTGCATACAGTTACAATTATGTATATTAGACAACTATAAGATGATTTCCTCTATTTTGACTGACGACATCATGACAATCTACAGATGCAAGAAGATTAGACATCACAGAGGACTAATATATGTACCTCGAGATATCTGGAGCAAGGCCACCATCTTCACCAACATTACACCCCAAACCTCCATTCTTTTCTGTAATGACAGCCTGCCATAAATAGCAATACATCATTCTCACCTTTATATAAAAACTTACAGATGCAAATAGAAAAGTAATTCTCAGAAAGCTCTATATCTGTGAAAATGGACCTTTAAATGATGATATGTCTCAGATCCCCATTGCAGGGCCTCCTCAAATCTACTTGCTCCAATTGGGAGAATCATAATTTCCTAACAATATACATAGTGACAACAATCATTACATACTTGAAAACCAAAAGCATTCTTGAAGAACTTTAAGGAGCAAGACTGAAAGATGACAAAATAGATGAGAAAGAGGTAGAACAGAAACGTGAATACTGAACTTAATCAAATGTTGAATACCTGAACGGCAAAAGTATTCGAAGCATGCTTCCCGCCACTCAATACAGTGAAGGCAGGTACAGGTAAAATCATGTTTGCTCTGCCACTAAGATCGGAAAGGTGCTTGCACAGAGGGACCTGATATATCACTTCAATCAAGATCTCCTAACTAGACTAGGCATGAGATATATAAGATAAGAGAAAATGTTGTGACGAGTTCACACCTCTTTCTCAGCAGCTCCAGCCTTACATGCAGCAATTGACACAGCTAGTATAGCATTAGCCCCAAGTTCATTCTGAAAGATAATGAAAGCAGCAGAAAATTTAGAAATTATATAGATTCCATTAACTTGTGACAATCCTAATATAAGAGGCAACAGAGAGTTCCCACCTACCTTCTTTTCAGTTTTGTCCAAATCTATCATTGCCTGGTCGATCTGAGCCTGAAGCTTTGGGTCCATACCGATCAGCGCCTCGGAGATTTTTTCATTAATGTTCTTAACAGCTTTAGCCACACTGTTTCCAAGATACGTTCCTTTGTCCCCATCACGTAGTTCAACAGCTTCATACCTTGGATCAGTGAACCAATCTCCTCATGTCAGGCTTATCAGACTAATCAAAGATCATGCCTCAATAAAATTCAAATAAAATATATATATATGTACGAAGAATTCTCACGTTCCAGAAGAATCACCACTGGGAACAGAAGCACGAAAAACGCCTTTGTTAGTGTG